CCTGCCGCGGGGACCCGCGCCGCGGCGGGCCAGAGAGAGCTCCTCCTCCTCCTCCTCCTCCTCCTCCTCCTCCTCCTCCTCCTCCTCCTCCTCCTCCTCCTCCTCCTCCTCCCGAATTGGGTGATGGCCCCGGACCTGCTCAGGGCGGGAAGCTTGTGGGCGTCCTGGGCCTCTGGGAGCCCTCACCGGGCCCCGGGACCATCCAGAAAGGAGTGAGGACGCACAGCTGGTCCCGGGAAGAGGGTCGGGACCTCTGGGAGCCCCGCAGAGCAGAATCAGAGGGTCGCATGTCTGGGCCGACGTACCCCACCGGCCATCGATTCTCCTGAATCGATGGGGGCCGGGGTTGGGGCTGGGATCTCGCCACGCGTTCGACGAATTCCGAACCCTGCCTCAGCCGCCTATCGAATTGCCTGAGTCGCGGATCAAAGAGGTAGGGGGCGGGGGGCATAACGTAACGCCCCCGCCCCCCACCGTGCCAGACTATGATGCCGGACGAACTGCGGCAGTGCCGGGGAGTCAGCGTTACGTCAAGGGGGGGAGGGAGGGAGAAGGTGGGTCAAGGGGCATAACGCGCGTTATGGCCCAGAGGGTAAAACACACACTCTCTCAGAAGCCCGAATCATCAGGGCTGGGGGCGGTTCGGGGTAGCTACAGGTTCGCGCCTCGGGGGCCCACACCAGAGTTACCCAAGACCGCAGCTATCCCAGAGAATCCGGCATCCAACCCTCTCGAATCATCGGGGCTGAAGGCAGCCAGGGGCAGCTGCGGATTCGCGCCTCGAGAGCCCAGACTGGAGCTACCCCAGGCCTCAGTCGACCCAAATGATTCCGGGCGTCCATCTCCCCTCCAAGATCATTCCGGAAAACTCTCGGAGCCCCCATCAGAAGGCCCCCCCCCTCCTCTGAAAGGAGGCGCGCCGCCAGCTCCCGGCTCCCGCGGGCCCGGGCACCCCGGGTGGGAGCGCTCTGGGCGGGGCTGCTGGAGAGAAGCACCCCTTGGGCATTCATTAACGGAGCGATCAATGCACCCTAGGGTGGGGTACCAATTTAGGGGGGCATTAGTTGAGGGGGGCATTAACCAAGGAGGGAATTCATCAGGGGGGGAACGTGCACCGTTCGTGCCTCTTTTTGGCCACGGGGCCGCCTTTAGGGCACACAAGGTGCACCCCCCCCGTTCATCAACCCCCCATAACGCTCAAAACTCGCGAGGCCAGAGGACATCCGGGGCACCGTGAAAACGTCAAGGGACTTCGGACTACGCACGGGCCCCCCCCCAAAGGGTCCTGGCTTTTCGCAACAGGTCCCCAAGGAGGAGGAGGAGAGAAGGAGCAGAAGAAGAAGGAGCAGGAGGAGGAGGAGGAGGAGGAGGAGGAGGAGGAGACGAGGAGGAGGAGGAGGAGGAGGAGGAGGAGGAGGAGGAGGAGCAGGAGAACAGGACAGGATAAGGTTTTACTCGTTTGCGACCCTTGCCTGGACTGCCTACACCAACGGTCTGCTGGTGGATAGACGGCAGGAATAAGAGGAGAGGGAGTAATCAGAATACGGGTAATAATAAGAATAATAAGAATTATAATCATAATAACATGAGGACGAATAAGAGGAGCAACGCGTATCATTAAAAAAGAAGAAGACACATAAAACACACACACACACACACATAACAACACCATAAACCAAACACGTACAAATTGTAGAGCGGCTTCTTCCCGCAGGAGAACGCGCGCGCGCGCCGTCGGCCCCGGATGGCGCCTGGACCACGGGAGCCAGTCTCCGAGCCGGCAGTCCTCCGCAGCGCTGGTGCACGCCACACGGCAGGCCCCCTCGCCGCCGCCGCATAAACATAGATTTGACAGGCCTAGAGGTTGACACCAACACCAATATCGGCGGTGTGCCTCCACCGGGGTAAGAGAATCCCGATTTCGGTGATGGTGGTAATATTCTGGCTGCCAAGGTGACCGACATATTACCACCAACACCAACATCGAGGATCATCTTCCTCCTGTGGAGGCAATCCCCTTGTGTTGGTTTTGGTGCCCATTTCCAGGCCTCCAAAAACTGTTGGGACTCCGCGCGGATTCCTTTGATCCGAGCTGAACTCCCCTGGCGCGCGAGGGGCGGCCGCGGAGGCGCCGTCAAGGGGGGTCAAGAGCAAAGCCAAGAAGTCCGCGAGAAGGTCCACGAATTGTGTTTATGAAAGTGTTCCTTATTCAAGTCCTTTTCCGGAGGCCTGTCAATCAAAAGAAAAACAAACAGCACCGCCACCGAGAACCCGTCGGGGGGACCCACCCCTGGGCGGTGGCATGTCCGAGCGTCACCCGATGCTGGACGACGCTCGGGCGTGTCACCGCCCGAAAGACGCTCCCGCCTAATGGGTTCTCAGTGGCAAAGGTCTCTGTTTCTCCTCTGGGCCGTCGCCCCACCGCCGCCGTCGCCGTCGCCGCGTCCTGAGGTCCAGGCGCCGCAACTGTTTCGCACTGGGCGCTCTCACCCGGATTCGAGCCCCCGGGGCCTCCATGGATCGATCCAGCTCGAGAGATGCCGCAGAGGGTTGAAGTCAAAGGTTCTCGCTGCGACTTCTCACCATGTTGCAACGTTCAAGCGACGTCGGATTTTGGTGCTGTCGCTGCCGCCGCCGCAATGATCACATCGCCGCCGCCGTCGATGTCGTTTCGTTGCTGATCGGAAAGCAGAGGATCGAGAATAGGGACGCGTGGCTGGCCCGTCTTGGGCCTTCGGAAACCTAAAGAAACCTTAAGATGCCTCCGCGGGGGGCTCTGGCAGCCTTCCGGGACATCTTGGTCCTCCTCCTTCGCATCCTCCTCGTCCTCCTTCTCGTCATCCTCCTCCTCTTTCCTCATTCTCCTTCCATATGAGCTATCATCCTGGAACTTTCAGTTTCAAATAGCTGTGAGCATGCGGGGTGCGTCGCGCTGAAAATGGAATCCTCGCCTGGACGCTGCGCACGTTCGTATAAACATTGCGGTAAGCAGTAAGATGGAATGCGGCTGGCTTTCAACATGGGATTCTCGCCTGACCGCCGCCAGCATGCGTCTCGCAAATCTGTAACAACTATTGGGTCGTGTTGGAAAGAGGGTGCTTACCTGAACGCGCAAAACTCAAATACTAATGTATCAACCTCGACAGGGCCGGAGGGCGCTCGTTGCTTTAAACTGGGACTATAGCATTGCCGCCGCTCACACCCGCAGGAAAGCATCTGATCAAATACGTAGATGGTGGACGGCCGTTTGATAGACACATGTCTCTTGAGATTTAATTCAATGGGCACTCGAATAACTTCACCGAGGGTAAAAGGTGCACGGATTGAGGGCGGTTCTATTTCCAGCATGCAAGGGACTATTGTTCAAGACTTGATCGAAGCGCATGGCCACAACAACATAAATATTGTGCAACCGTTGCACGGATTAGGCGGTCCATGTCTCGAAGCATGGATATTGGTGGACACCTCGTTGAAGTGTGCGTTCGTACTTTTGGCGCCCCAAGCGCCCTGCTGAACGACAGGCCCCTAAAACCATGATTTGGCAAGAAACGTGTTTTGGTATTGTTTGCGTGTGGACCAAAGTGGTGCGCCGCGCGCGCGGGCACAACAGAAACACGACCTCGGGCGGACCGCGGCGGCGCGCCGTTTTGCAGGGCTCTACGGTGGCCGCAGCTGCGATCAGAATGGGCGCGCGGCCAGCCAGAACGAGGCCGACTGGCGCGATGTCGCTGGATGCGAATCATGGGGCGGCACAGGTAGGCGGCGACGGCATCCCTCTCCCCATCCTGCTTGCCCCGCGCTCCTGGATATCCTCGCGTGACTCTTCCAGAGGCCAGGGGGGCCCTAAGACGGGCCCCGAGGGGCCCAAGAAGCGCCCGAGAGACCTCCAAGACAGCCCAAGAGCGCCCCCAGAAGTCCAAGATGGCCCAAGACCCGCCCAAGAGGCCCCAAAAAAGCCTCGAGAGCTCCAAGAGCGCTTCAAGAGGGCCCCAAGAGGCACATATCATTGATGTTCCTAGTAGGTTTCTATGTTGTTCGCGGTCTTGCGTGTTTGGGCGTCCGCTGCACCAAGATGGCCACAGAGGCCCCCCAAACCGCTCCAAGACGGCTCAAGAGGCCCCCAAGAGGGCACCAAGACGTTCCAAGAGGCCCCAAACCTGCCCAAGAGGCGCCCAAACTCGCCGATGAAGACCCCACGACGGCCCAAACAGGGGCCCAAGAGGGGGAGGACGAGCCGACAACTCGAGCATTCCGCCGCAAGGGGCCCCCAGGAGGCACCACGAGGCCCCCCTAGAGGCCCTGGAGGCCCCACGAGGCCCCCCTGGAGGGAGGTCCCACGAGGCCCCCAAGAGGCCCAAGAGGCCCCTAAACGGCCCCCCAAGAGGTCTCAAAACTGCCTCCAAGAGGCCCCCGAGAGGCCTCCCACGATATCCAAGCGAACATCCAAGAGGCCTCTGTCCCACAACCTAGGTACGGTGGCGGATGGGCCTACGGGCACTAGATTTTATGTGTAATCCGCCACACAAGGAACCCAGTTATAGTCTGCAGCAAAAAGAATACATGTGCAATCTGCCACGAAAGCGAATCAACCTGTAGCCTGCCACATAATGCATGTGTGAACAAAGCTAAACAAAAAGAGCCCAAACTATACAAACCAATCGCAAGAAGACGAATCCTCGTGTCCCGGCAAAACAAACTCGATACATGAGGAACAACGAAAAAAACAACACGTCGTTAAACGGAACCAGATGTTGACCTTACCCCTGTCCCCGACGCTCCCCCTCCTCCTCCCTCCTCTTGTTCCTCCTCCTCCTCCTCGTCCTCCTCCTCGTCCCCCTCCTCGTCCTCCTCCTCCTCCTCGTCCTCCTCCCCGTCCTCCCCGTCCTCCTCCTTGTCCCCCTCCCCTCCTGCTCTTCCTTTTCCTGGCCTCCCGGCCTCCGTCGCCCCGCTCGAGCATCTGGCCGCCGGCGGCGCCCTTAGGCCGGCGGGTGGCGCGCGTCCTGCGGGGACTCGCCCGCGCAGCCCTCCGGGGGCCCCTCGTCGTCCACCGCGGGGTTGCAGGGCTCGACGACCTCTTGCGAGCTCGCCCTCGCCCCCCCCCGTCGTCCGAGGGCAGCCAGTGCTGACGCTCTCTTTTTTTTTGTTGTTCTCTCTCTCTCTCTCTCTCACACACGCACACACACACACACACGCACACGCACACGCACACGCACACGCACAAACACCACACACACACACGCCCACGCCCACGCCCACGCCCACGCCCACGCCCACGCCCACGCCCACGCACACACAAACAAACACACACACATACACGTACTCACACACATACACACACACACACACACTCACAGAGTTTTGGCGTCGTGGCCGTGCGCACGGCAGCAGGGCGGAGGTGGTCGTAAAGCAGCGAACGCGCGTGCGCGACTAGGAACGGCCGAGCCCTCAGAAACCGCTCAGGGTCCAGCAGCGGCTGGCAGCCGCACTCACACAACCACACACACACACACGCAAACTCTTTCGGTCGCACGCGTTCGGGGCCGAGAAGCTACTCGCACGTTCGGAAGTCACGCCCGGCGGAGCGAGATCACGCAGGGCTAAGCGAGCCCCCCAGGGACGCCCTGAGGGCCAGAAGGTGACAGGGGGGGAGCGGCAGCGCGGGACAGCGAGGTGGCGGCTGCGTATTGCAGGCAATGTTGATAAAGGAACAAAACATGGAAAGACGGCATGAGATGTCCGCGCGGATTTCTTGGACCCGCCCCAGGCCCACCCCAGGTCACTCGGGGGGCCTGTTGAGCCCAGCCCGGACTGCCTGGGGGTGGGGGGCCGCCTGTGCGCAGCCCGCAGCCTTACACCAGGCGCAGTGACCGAACTCGGGCCCGAAAGAACTACATACCCAAGCGTGACCGAACCCCCGCGCCCGAATGCGCGCGATTGTGGCCGACACCTCTATTTGGAAGCGAAGGCTGTTTTCAATGCTGGCAAAAGTTCCGATCGAAGTGCACTTGCGGTCACAAGTTCAAATTCGTTGTTGGGCACGTGAGGGTTTTCTTTATTCGGCGTTTGCGTTTCGACATTGGGCGGCAAGGGGGGGAGGGGGGGAGTCTGGCTCCAGACCTCTGCTCAATGCGGCTGTTTGCAGCAGTGCGTTCTCTGGGGGAAGACGGCACTGGATCACCGTACCGAGCCTCGAAATTTCAAAGGGCCCCCTGGCGTCGTCGAGTGCCGATTGCGTTGGCGCGCCCACTTGGGAGCCCAGCGAAGACGCGCGCGCCAGCCTGCTGGCCCAAATGGGTCGACGAGAGAACTCGACAACAGACTCTGAGGCCGTCGATGAAATCCAGGCGCGGTACGGTGCATAATTTTCGCCCTGCAAAGAACACCAAAAGTATGCACCGTACCCAGCGGGGCGCCGCATGCGGCGGGGCCTCTCAGAAAAAGCCTTCTGACACCTCCGCCGCAAGAACACCGGGGCCCTCGAGGATTCCCAATGATTCGGATGCATGCGCAAGTCATTCCCAAATCCTCCTCAATGATCTTGCGCGAATCGGCATCTACAAAAAATGCCCCAGGGATGCTGCCATGGTACGGTGCATGAATATAGTCTGCGGAGGAAAGGCTCCACCTCTCGAAACAGACGCCAAACAAAGCCAAGATCTACTCCATGGGGGGGAGGCGAGGGCCCGCGCCGAGCGGCAACGAATAAAAAACTACCACGTTCTGTTTGGAAGCGAATGCTGTTCTCAATGCTGGCAAGAGTTCCGATCGAAGTGCACTTGGGGTCACAAGTTCGAAAGTGTTTTTGGTCACGTGAGCGTTTGTTTACTCTGCGTTTCGACATTGGGCGGCAAGGGGTTGGGGAGAGGGGGGGTTCTGGCTCCAGACCTCTGCTTCATGCTGCTGTGTGCAGCAATGCGTCCTCTGGGGGAGAGGCTCCACCTGCTCGGCACAGGCGCCAAAAACAGCCAAGATCTACTCCGTAGGGGGGGGAGGGGGGGTGCGAGGGCCCGCGCCGATCAGCAATGCATAACACAACGGCGACTTTCTGTTTGGAAGCGAAGGCTGTTCTGAATGCTGGCAAGAGTTCCAATCGAAGTGCACTTGCGGTCACAAATTCGAATTAATTTTCGGTCACGCGAGCGTTTGTTTACTCGGTGTTTCGACATTGGGCGGCAAGGGGTGGGGGAGAGGGGGGGGTTCTGGCTCCAGACCTCTGCTTCATGCGGCCGTCTGCAGCAATGCGTCCTCTGGGGGAGAGGCTCCACCCGCTCGAAACAGGCGCCAAAAACAGCCAAGATCTACTCCATGAGGGGGGGGGGGTGGTGTCTGTTCCATGGGAGCCTGCGTGGCCCCTGGCGCTGTCCGATTTGGGCTTGATTTAGACCAAATTTGGAACACATTTGATACCAGATTTGGACCGCATTTGGACCAGATTCGCACCCTCACGGGGGAGACGAAGAGAACGAGGAGGGGGGAGCAAAAGCAGGAAGGGCGAGGAGGAGCAGGAGGAAGGGCCAAAGGCGGTCCAAATGCAGGAAAAGCTGGCTTCGATGTCGCCGCCCACGGCTACCATGAACGGACACGAATTTTTGGGCCCGCGCCGATTGTGACTACCTACCAGACCACCCCAACCCAACCCGAAGACCCGAATTTGACCCGAATTTCGGGTTGGGGGGGTACGGATACCATGTGTTTTTTCAACGTTCCCCGACCCCCCCCCCACTGGAAATCGAGGATAAATCTGAGCCTTCGGGTTGGGTTGTGGTGGTTTGGTGGGTGGTGAGATTGGGAAAACAACGAATAAAACAACGATCGCCACATACTTTTCTGGGGACGGGCCCCGTCGGCTGGCAACGTACGGTTGGCATGGCCCTTCCTGGGGGGTGGCGGGCGGGCCCCTCTGGAGAAAGAGCCGAGTGCGTCGCTACTGTTTGACCTCATTCGGAGCCCTGTCATTAGGTCGGGCATGTCCCCCTATACAGGCGGATTTTGGACGAAGAATTGGAAGCACGCCAGAAAGGCGCAAACAGATGCCAAAATAGCAAAAATAAAAAAACGTCCCCAGGCTATCTCCAAAACCAATTTTGAAGATTCCTCCTGTAGAGGGACAGGCCCGACTTAACCCTGTCAACGCCGGTGCAGCCAGCACTGCCACGGACGACCAGCTGACCGACCGCCGGGCAGGAGGGGAAGAACGGCTGCACTCCTGAGCAGAGCAGCGGCACCTGACACCCAATCACGACCACGAGACCCACAAGCAATTGAGCAAACTTATGCAGCCGGAGATCCGCGCACAGAAACGGCGGACACGACGAGCTCACACAGATGGCGTACTCGAGCAGTTCAAATAATTGAAGAGCATCACGCGCACCAGGACACGCAGAAAGCGGGCAATCATCACACACATGACAGACAAACACGATGCGAAACGCACGGCACAACAACGCATTGCTGACGTTTCAAAAGGATTTTGCGAGCACCTTCGCAAGTCGACGACAGAGCCGACTCAGCAGGAACGACGGGGCGACGACCTTGCACCTTTCACGAGGACAGAATTGGATATGGCGATCAAGTGGCTCTGGTTTAGCAAAGCCCCCTACACCAAGGGTCTCCGAGCGAACGTGTTGAAAGAAGGCGCGGAAGAACTCGAAGAGGCACTTCTTCACCTTTACAACGAACATGCCTGTTTACAGCTCCACAACCGGCCGGACGAACACTGTTGTTCCCGTTACTCCAAAAAGTGGGGACCTTACGCTTCGGCAAAAATACCGTCCCATCTGCACGATACCACTGCTCTACAAGCTTTTCAACGGACTGCTCTGCAACAGACTCCCACCAACTCTCGACTCTCGACAGAAAGCTGTCTAAGCAGGCTTCAGACAGGGACATTCGACCAACGACCGTTTGTTCACCTGTCACATACTCCGAGAGCGCGCGCACGAATGGAACCAAAACTTGTGGATCGCAACACTCGATTAAAAAAAGACGTTCGCCACCGTCAAGCACAACAGCATGTGGGCAGCAGTCAGGGCTTAAGGAGTCCAGCAATGATAAATATCTCTACTCCAGCAGGTGTACGTGGGCCAGACGGCCACAGTTAGGACTGACGTCAGCAGCAGGCCATTCTGCCTTTGCGGGGCACGAAGCAAAGCGACCCGCTCAATTCCCTACTCTTCACCGCTCTTCTGCAGCACATCCTTGATCCTTGCACCGCGAATTGTCGAATGGCGGGAGACGGGCAAAGGAGTCCCACTGGGATTCACCACCGCCGCCGCGCTCACTAATCCTCGCTTCGTCGAAGACGTGCTCCTGACCAGCCAGACTCTCCCGCGCCTCACTGGGATGCTTGACGACCTCTTGCGCGCAGCGCGACCTCACGGACTCGAGCTGCACCCGTCCGAAACCAAATGTAGTCAGCAACCAGACGAGCTGGATCGGCAGGGCAAGCTCGCGCGCAATTCGCGCTCAGGGCAGGGACACCGACATCCTTTCACACGAAGGCTATATCAAAGGGTTTGGACAACTTATCGGCTTCCACGACGCGATGGAGACAGATACTGGCAACCGCACGAGAGCTGTATGGACATCCCTCACATCGCACAAGGAAGAGCTGACAAGCAAACACTACCCTTTGGCGCAGTGGTTTCGGCTGTTCAATAGCACAATAACGCCGACGGCACTTTACGGAACAAGGACATGGACTCTCACAGAAGCTCTTCGGTAACGCCTGCGACGAACACAACGACGCATGCTCCAAACGATCATCAGAACACCAAGACGACGCACTACTCACCACGACGCAACCCCTCGCAGCAACCACGGCGGAACCGACGACGGCGCGACCGACGAAACACCCGACGACGACCCCAACGAAACTGGCAGCAGCGACGACGCAGACAGCAACGCACCACAGTAAGACGCAACTGACCAGCACAGCGAGAGCAACGACAACAACGATCACCAGGACACGATGGGGTCATTGGTCGAATACATCCGACGAGCAAGGCGGTGCGCAGAGCAACTCATGCAGCGCCACCAAATCGCCAACTGGGAGACGATTCGCAGACGTAGGTCGTGGCGCACGGCGTCAAGGGTTGCTAACCACGACGCCATCAGATGGACGCGGCGAGCACTCCAGTGGCAATCATGAGACAACCCACGCCAACGTGGCCAGCGACAATACGGCTGACAGCGCAAACGTTCGGCAAACGATGTCGCCAATTTTCTCCAACAAAGCAGACCCGACCTGCATCCAACGCCCAGACCGACCGCCTCAGAATACCAACCAAACGACCTTACCAGGGTTCGCACGGCTAAAGACATCTCCACCTGGTTGACATTCGAACGGCAATACATGCACCCCACGTAACGACGGTACACCGACATCCACATCCAGGACTTACTCTCTGTCCCTCCTCTGTCCTAACTTTGCATGGGCTCGCTGCTCTTATGCATGATTGTCTCGTTGTTCATACGCAAGGCCGCTTGTTTTTCAACAGTACATGTTTCATGGGGCCACGGCCCCTCCACCCAAGTCGTGAGTAGGCCCTGTCAACGGCCGCTCTTCGGGGAATACCTCCAGTGACGTTTGGGAAAGGGGTTCAGGACGGGAGGCCGTGTTTCAGCTCGGTTGACGCGTCCTGGGTTTACCTTGGTCTCCTTCATCCCACCCCCTCATCTCCCTCGGAGAGAACACCAGGACGACTCCTGCAACATGTGGACACCGTGGAAGTCTTGACAGCGCCCGGAGATATCTGACAGCGCAAAAGAGAACTCCTCTCAAAAACAAACTCGACAACATCCGCGAGGGCATCCGGGAATCCCGCCCCGAAGAGGCCTCCCGGAAGCCCCCCGAACCCCCGAAAGCCTCAGAGAGGGCCTCCGAAACCCTCCTCAGCCTCCCGGAAAAATGCTGACGCGAACAGACAAGAATTCGCTTAAAATCAACCGATAGACTAATGCGCGGGCTTCATCCCGGCCAATTGTCCGAGCCGCATCCAGCTGTGTGCGTCGAAGACCTTCAGACACGCCCCAACCCCACCCCCCCGCCCCAACCAATCGACGGAATGAGGACGACCACGGTGGAGGACGTCGAGAACGACAACGGACGACGACGACGACGACGACGACGATGACGGACGAAGGACGACGGACGACGGACGACGACGGACGACGGACGACGGACGACGGACGACGGACGACGGACGACGGACGACGGACGACGGACGACGGACGACGGACGAGGGACGACGACGACGACGACGACGACGACGACGACGGGGGGGCGCCAACTGCGGTGGCGGTGGCGGCGCGGACACCTCCTCCTCGCGCAGAAACAAAGACCAAGACGATGGCAGCAGGCTGTTGCGACATCCGGGGCCCCAGGACCACACCCGCAACCACCAGTCCTCCTTTCCCTCCTCCTCCTCCTCCTCCCCCTCCCCCCCGCCCCACTCCTCTCAGAGGCGACGATAGGGGCGAATAGCCCGGGGGAGAGCAACACGTGCATTCAGGTGCGCCGATGATCTGTCTTCGAAGAAGGCTCCCGGGCGAAGACGTGTAATGCCAGCCCCTGGGCTATCCGCCCGGGGCGGATAGCCCAGGGGCGAATGCTGCTCCTCCTCCTCCCTTCTCCTTTCCGTCTCCTTGTTCCCCCGCTCGTGGACCTCCCACGCCCTTTTTTCCTGCTGCACTTCAGAAAGGTAGGAAAAGGAGGTTTTTGGAAAAATTAGTGACGAGAGCGATCTTTAACATCCGCCCCTATCGTCGCCGCCGATCCTCCCCAAAATGCCGCCTTGAGCGCGTCCCCGGCGCACGGCTTCCCCGCGCCCGAGGCGAACACCTCGCGCGGGGCGGCCCGCGGCGCCACCGCGGCGCCACCGCGCCTCCGCCCGCCGCCGCCGCCCGCCGGTCCCGCTCCTGTTCTGCTCTCCCTCCTGCTCGGTCCCCTCGCATCACGAGTGTAGGGCCAGGTCGGGCCTGTCCCCCTACAGGGGGATTTTGGGCGAAAAATCAAAGATAGTATAAAAAGTTCTCCCAAAATGGTTAACACACATTTTTTTTAAAAAGCCCCCAGACTATTTTGGGACTATGTGTTTGAATATCCCCCCTGTAGAGGGACAGGCCCGATTTCAGTGTAGGGTTGGCAAGCGGCCCCTGGGTGCGCGGCCGAGGTGTAATTCCGCGGCGCGGGTTACTGTGTTTGTTGTTGCTGCTGTTGTTGTTGTTGCTGTTGTTGTTGCTGTTGCTGTTGTTGTTGCTGCTGCAGTTGTTGCTGTGATTGTTGTTCTTGTTGAATCCCGCGTTCTACAAAATAATGATTACTATGTCGAACGCGGGAGGAGGAGGTACAATGATTATTCAAGGATCACTGTATCCCCTCCTCCCGTAACCATTGCTAAATTCAATCAAAGTGTTTCTCCCGGGGCTCTCGCCCAGTTTTATACAAAAGAAAGGACAATGAGGTGCCACCAAACAATGTCTTTGTTTTAGTGGGCTCCGGAAGCGGCAGAAAAATTGTTTGTCAACGTTTCTGGAACAACGTCTCTTGTTTTTTAACGCCACCAGAAAGGACGAACCGAATGTTCCGGAATTGGAACTGGAGATAGCAACACAAAAAACGACGAACCAAACAAGAAAAAACGAGCCGGAAACAGCAAACACAACATGCAAAACGGAAACGGTAACAAAAAACAAACGAAACCTGTAACAAAACAGCCGTGTTGTTGCAAACCAGGAGGGGAACACTCATTGCCCCCAGTTTACAGCAACAACAACGGTTCCCGCCTGACAGTTCCTCAACATGTAGTCCCTAAACGCGCTTTTGCGCGGAACGTCCTCTCAATGGATGCAGAAATCGCGTTCGCAAGTAGGACTTCCTCGCAAATTATTCAGACGCCACGCCCTCGACACTCAGGAATCACGTTTTCGTTGAGGATTTCCTCACGATTTATTTGGGAATCGCGCTATCGCTCGCAACTTCCTCGCGACCCATGTAGAACGCACGCTTCAGCAACCCGCCTGCCCGTTGTCCTTTCCTTCCATCTCCATCCATCCTCTCTTCCACTGCCTTGGGGGCTGCACGGAATACAATTTGGAGGTAGCAAGGAAATCTACCCCGAAGGGGGTTCGATCGAAGACGAAAAGGGCGGGTATCGAGGATTCGGAATATACGTGTTGAGTGGCACGCGAGCGGATAAGAGCGAACACTATCAAAATGATTGTCGTTGTTGCTGTTGATGTTGACTTCTTACTTCAAAGGAGTAATTATTGTTGGTCCCCCCTCTGGAAACCATAGAACTTTCAATGAAGATTCTCCCCCCCGGGCTCGCACCCAAAAACACGTCACCACATTGTAGATTTGCCCCCGGTTTACAACAGCAGCGGCTCCCGCCTGAAATGTCCTCACAAGGTATGTCCGCATCGCGCTCGCTCGCGGGACGTCCTCAGAGTGTATGCAGGAATCGCGCTCTCGAGCGGGACTTCCTCGCCGTGTACTCAAACGCTGCGCCCGCGGCACTCAGGAATCACGCGCTCGCCTTGGATTTCCTCACGATTTATCTGGGAACAGCGCCATCGCGCAAGACTCCCTCACGACTCATGCAAGACGCACGCTCCAGCAACCCGCCTGCTCGACCTGGCCGCCTTGGCCCGTCTTCCCGGCCCGCCCGTAAGGATCTACCCGCCCGATCTGCCCGTTTGGCTCTGCCACGTGCTTTGTGCTCCCAGCCCCTCTCCTGCTACTCTCTCTCGTGCTCTATCCTCCACTTTCCCCAATGTCCATCCCTTCCATCCGTCCTCTCTTCCCCTGCCTGAGGGGCTTCACGAAATGCACGTTGCACGTGAGAAACATATATACTCCCAAAGGGGTACAATCGAAGTCGAAGAAAACGGATATCGAAGGTTGGTATATACATGTTGAGTGGCCCACGAGCAGATCAGAGCGAACAGTCTTAACATGAGCGTTGTTGTTGATGTTGATGCTGTTATTGCTGCTGCTGCTGTTGTTGCTGCCGTTGTCGTTGCTGCTGCGGTAGTTGTTGGACTCTCAGTTCTGAAGACAAATTATTGTTGAACCCCCCCCCCGGTGCCCACTATGGCGTTTCAGTTGACAAGCTCCTTCCCAGGGCCTGTCTGGTTGGCCCCCGGTCAACTACAAAACAAACAACGGCTCCCGCCGCACACCTCCTCCTCACCACTCATGGAGGAGGCGTCGTGGTGTTCGCCCCCCCCCCCCTCCCCCCGGCAACAGGAGGAGGGGCGGGGCGGCTCGAACCCCCCCTCACCCTCCCTCCACGCGTCCACAGGGCGCGCTCCTTCAAACCTTGAAGGGGAACTGGGACACACAAATAAATACACACAAATAAAAAAAATCCCCATATTTTCCCATATTTTCTGGGTTTTTGTCTTCCCCCCCACTTCCCATGTTTTCCCATATTTTCTGGGGAATGGAGGATTAATTGTGTCTGTGTGTTTTTTCCCCTCCTTCAAACCTGCCTATACGGAACACGAGGGCGGCCGCGGAGGGGCTGGCCGCCGGCGCGGCGGCAGGCGCCGAGATGTAGCGGTTGCGCTCGCGGACGCCGAAGCACTCCAGGCTGCAGGCCGACCAGGGGCCTCCGCGCCGGCGCCGCGGGCGCGGAGGCGGGGCCTCAGCTAGAGGATCATAGATATAGATCTATATTCAGATAGAGGCACAAAGATATATACAGCCATAGATATATATATATATATATATATATACTAGAACCATCGCGCGCGCTACGCGCGCGCTCAAGTCCTAGCTAGGGTCATGGTCATCGTCATCATTGCCACCCTCATCCCCGTCATCTTAATCGTCATCGTCATGGTCATGGTCACCTTCACTATCACCATCACAATAATCATCATTCTCACCATTATCATCAGCATCGTGATCGCCATCGCCATCATCGTCATCGTACTTTTCAGCATCATCATGATCATCATCATCGTCATCGTACTTTTCATCATCATCATCATCATCATCATCATCATCATCATCATCATCATCATCATCAGCATCAACATCTTGTTGGTCGTCGTCGGCATAGTCATCGTCATCAGCATGAGCGAAATCGCCGTCATCATCCCTGGTCCACTGCAGTCCCCTTGCCCTCCTCCTCTTCCCGTTCTCCCTCATCCCATCATCTTATATTCATCCTTTGCCTCGTCGGCGTTTCCCTGAAACGGATCCCTGTTCCTTCACCTCCTCCTCCTATGTTTCCTCCTCCTCCTTCTCCTCCTCCTACTCCTCCTCCCTGTCTTCCCCACTCTTCGGTGTGTCCCTCCTTGTGTTCCTTCACCTACTTAACCTTCTTCCTCCTCTCGAGCCCTCTTCATCCTGCGCTCCCCTTCCCTCCTCGTCCTCAGCACCTCTCTCCGAGCCAGAGAATCAGAGAACAAGACAATCTTACAATAACACTGTCCCTCCTCCTCTTCCCCCTCCTCTTCCCTCTCTTCGTCCTCCTGATCTTCCTTCCCCTCCTCCTCCTCCTCCTCATATCCCACCTCCTCCTCCTCCTCCTCCCCCTCCTCCTCCTTGTCCTTGTCCTCCTCCTCCTCCTCCTCCTCCTCTTCCTCCTCCTTGTCCTCCTCCTACTCTCTTCTCTCAACGCACCCAATACACGGGTGCCTACTGGACCGCGTGCTGGGAGCCTTGTTGGGAAGCACTGTGGCAGTCTCTGGAGCCTCTCCAGGCCTTCCTTGGAAGTCCTTTGGGGCCTTTGTTGGCCCGTCGGAGGGCCCATGTCGGCCGTTCCAGGTCCCCCGTGGCTCGTCGTGGGAAGCTCGGCCCGTCTTGGGGCCCTCCTGGGGCCCTCTCCGACCATGTAGGAATCCTCTGGTGGCCCCCTCGGGCTTCCTGGGGGCTCTCTTGGGCCGTCTTCTAGCGCTTCTGTGCCGCTCGAAGCTCTCCTTAGCCCACTTTGGAACCCTTTTTGGGGCCTCTGAGGCCGCCGCTGGTAGAACTGAAAAGCGAAGCTGTCAGAAATAGAAGTTGTTCCATGGGAAATGCTTGATTTGTGTTTTTGGAAGGCCTTTTCAGCGGCCTCTTGGACGATTTGGGGAGCCCTTGGGGCCGACGTGGCCGCCGATGGAACATAAGCAGCGAATATCATAGAAATGAAAGTTCTTCCATGGGAAATGTTCGTTTTGTGCACCTAGGAGCCTTCCCAACGGCCTCCTGGACCGTCTTCAGGGAAACCTGGTCGGCCTTTTTTGGACCCTCTGGGAACCCAATTCGGCCGTTCCCGGTCCCTCTTCGCCCGCCATGGGGACCAGAGCCCGTCTTGGGGCCCCCTGGGGGCCCTCTCCGACTAAGTATGTAAAGATCCTCTGGTGGCCCCCTCGGGGTTCCTGGGTACTCTCTTGGGCCGTGTTCGGGCTCTCTGGTGCTGCTCGAAGCTCTCTTTAGGCCGTCTGGGGGCACTCTTGGCGGCCTCTTGGGCCCTCTGAAGCTCATTCTGGGAGTCTGAGGAGGGGCCGTCGCAGCCGCTGGTAGGACTGAAAAGCAAATATCAAAGAAATAGACGCTTTCCCATAAGCAGGACCTATTTGATTTGATGTTTGCCCTTGGAGGGCCTTTTCGTCGGACTCTTGGACCGTCTTGAATGCTTTTGTGGCCGTCTAGGAGCAGTCTTGAGCTGTCTTCGAGCGCTCGCGGCCCGTCCAGAAGCCATCTCAGTGCGCTCTTCAGCCACCTTCCCGACAACCTGGGGCGCTTTGGGCGCCTCTTGGGCCAGCTTGGGAGCCTCTGGGGGGTCAGGGGCCCCTTCTGAACCCTCTTGGAGCCCCCCCGGCCCCCCCGGCCCATCATGCGAACCCGAGGCAGCAGTTCTGGGCCCTCCCCCGGCCTACTCCGAGATCTGTCTCTCTTTTTTTTGTTCTCTCTCTCTCTCTCTCTCTCTATATATATATATATATATGTATACATACAAGACTGCATTGATTTTTTGCGCCATGCGCCTTGTTCCAGACGCTCCTCGAAAAAGCAATAAGTCATCGCGGGTTTCAGCAGAGGGGACAATCGACCTGGACATCGGGGGTGAGCTTCCACATGCCACACAGAGCCAGTGCCGCCGGGAGACGTCGCGGCTCGCACAAGACTGGGCCAACAAAAATTGGTAAAAGAGCCCCTGGCCCAAGGCGCCCCCCAGCTTTCCGCTGAATTCTGGAGCCCCGGGGCCCTCCGGGCCTCGTGATGGGTGCCCTAAGAGGCTGCGGGGGCCTCCGAGCCCTTTGGGAGCGGACCTCAGTCAAGAGGTCCAAAACACTAGGGATCGGGGGTCTCTTCACCATTTGATGACTACGTATCCCGAACTGAGAGATGGAGACCTAAGTTCGGCCACGTCGTCATTGCGCCATTAACGTCAGGGGTCCCGTTCATTCTCCACGACCCTGGGTCGGGGACACTTCCAGCAACACCCCGTAGCTGCCCGTGCCAGAGCCTTCCGCCGCAGGGGTGGCGGGCGCGGCCCCCGCCAGGCCTGTCAGCACAGGCCCGGCACCGCGACTGGTGCGAGGTGACTCGAGCTGGCTGGACCAGCTCGGCGCAAAACGGCCGTGTTCGAGCGAGCGAAACGCGACGCCCCAGACGGGGACGGCGGCGGCGGCAACGGCGACCGGCGGCCGCGGCGGCGGCGGCGCGGGCCGAGCGGGCGCGCGGGGCGCGCCCCAGCCGGAGAGCTCGCAGTCCTGCGCCCGCCGCACCGGCCGCGCTCCGCTGCCCGGGGGCCGAGGCTTTCGCCGCGAGCACGGAGCTGCCATGGGGCCAGGCTTCGTCGAATGCCACTGGCGCAGGAGGGGGGTGGACTGGAAGCGGCAGCGGCGTGCAGCAGAAGCGCCAAAGCGAGCGCGCACGTGGAGGTCGAGCCCACCTGGCGGCCAGGCGGGGAAGAGCCGGGAGGAGGCAGCGTGCGGTGGGAGGGAAAGCCCTTCCGCGCGCACTCGAAGGCGCTGTTCGTCAGACCCCCGCGAGTCTGCTTGCGTGGAGGGGGGCGCCCCCGACAGACCACCCCAAGACGACTTGGGGTGAAAAGCTGGTCCCGGGGAAATCTCTGATATTCTGCGACGGGGGGGGGGCGCCAGATGGCTCTGCTTGGGAAGGGAGGGGGGGATGCTTCGCCTTCGCTCCGTTTCCTGGACGGGGCTGGGGCACGTAAGAATCATCCAAACTTCCACCCCGTGGGCCAGAGAGCCCAAGATGGCCGCCAGATATGTCCCAGACGGCTCAAGACGCACCCAAGATGGCCCAGGGAGCCCATCCAAAAAAAGGCCCGATGAGACCCACATCATTGACTCCCTAAATGCTTTTGAAAGACGTGGGCGCTTCATTTTTCGGGCATGGCCCTCGAGGTCCTCAAGATCGCCCCAGAGGCCCCCAAAATGGCCCGATGACGACCCAAGAGGCTCCCAAAACGGCCCAAAGATGGTCCCAAAACGGCCCCACAGGCCCCCAGGACGTCCAAGATAGCCTCCCAGACGACGGCCCTCAAGCTCCCAAACGGCACAGCGAGGCGCACAAGATGGCTTCCGACAATGTCCGACGGGCCAGAAACGCCCTAAGACAGCCAAAAAGGCTTCCAAGAAGCCCCCAAGAGGCTCAGAGACTCCCTCAAGACCCCATAGGCCTCCAAGCGAACCCCCCGAGCACCATCGTGAGCGCCCCGGATCGGCGGCAATGGCCGGAGATCACTACAGTCTCTGATTTTATGCGGCTCTGGTGATGTATCGGGCGCCGCGGCCGATCCATGAACGCTGCAAAACGCTCTGATAACGTTCCGGGACGCTCTTGAAAGATGTATGAATTTCCTACTTGAATCACCGCGGGGGGCTGAGTAAATAGGGGGGATACAAGTGGAGCAACCTCGTAATTGAGTCGAAGGGAAGCCCCTTCCCTTTAATCCCTCCCCCGCCGGGAGGGGGGGGGGGGTGTCGACCCCCCCCGGGTCAGATACGACGCCCCCCCCTGGGACTCCTCTTCCCCTGGGCTCCAGCCAAGCCGACCTTGAGCAACCTCGTAATTGAGTCGAAGGGAAGCCCCTTCCCTTTGATCCCTCCCCCGCCGGGAGGGGGGGGGGGTAGCGACCCCCCCCCCGGGTCAGATACGACGCCCCCCCCTGGGACTCCTCTTCCCCTGGGCTCCAGCCAAGCCGACCTTGAGCAACCTCGTATTGAGTCGAAGGGAAGCCCCTTCCCTTTGATCCCTCCCCGCCGGGAGGGGGGGGGGGTGTCGACCCCCCCCCGGGTCAGATACGACGCCCCCCCCTGGGACTCCTCTTCCCCTGGGCTCCAGCCAAGCCGACCTTGAGCAACCTCGTAATTGAGTCGAAGGGAAGCCCCTTCCCTTTGATCCCTCCCCCGCCGGGAGGGGGGGGGGGTGTCGACCCCCCCCCCGGGTCAGATACGACGCCCCCCCCTGGGACTCCTCTTCCCCTGGGCTCCAGCCAAGCCGACCTTGAGCAACCTCGTAATTGAGTCGAAGGGAAGCCCCTTCCCTTTGATCCCTCCCCCGCCGGGAGGGGGGGGGGGGTGTCGACCCCCCCCCCGGGTCAGATACGACGCCCCCCCCTGGGACTCCTCTTCCCCTGGGCTCCAGCCAAGCCGACCTTGAGCAACCTCGTAATCTCTTGCTGCGCATTGCGAACAGGGTCGGCGGCACCGGCCGTCAGGCCTTCGCAATAGGGGGGATACAAGTGGATGTCAGGGGGGATTATGTCTGGCCCGACCTAGCTCACAAGTGGGCTACAGATGCCCTGAGTGGCTTGGCCGAGCTGGCGACCTCCGCTAGGTTGCCGCCGCGGCGGCCCAAATAGCCCGGCCCGGGTACCCACTCGGAATCAGCCGCCCTGGCCCGCGGGGGCGCGCTCAGGCCAAGCTCTCGGGGGCGGACCCGGCCAGGGGCTTCGCCTCAGGCTGAGCAACCGCCGCGGTGGCCCAAATAGCCCCGCCCGGGTACCCCCTCTCGGAAGCAGCCGCCCTGGCCCGCGGGGGCGCGCTCAGGCCAAGCTCTCGGGGGCGGACCCGGCCGCGGCCGCGAGGGGGCCCCCCTCGAGGCCCCCGAGGAGGAGGCGGCGCGCGGCAGTGCCCCGTGCCGCGGCGGCCTGTGCGCCGTGCCCCCGGCACGGCGCGGGCCGCTCGGGCTGCTCGGGAGCGGGCGCGGCCTTCCGCCGGGCGCAGATCGCTCGGTGTCGGTCGATTCTGGGCCACTGGCGTTAGGTCGGGCGTGCCCCCCTAGAGGCGGATTGTATAAGAAACACGCACACGAAACGTCAAAACAAACAAATCGAAACATACAAAACAAAATCGTCCCCGGATTATCTTTTGACTATTTTTGAGCATTCCCCCTGTAGAGGGACAGGCCCGACTTAACACTGGCGGCGTTCAACCTTGAACGCCCGCGCCGGGGTCGCCGCCGCTTCGGCACGAGCCCACCGTGCCTGCCAAAGTTCGCTCCCGACCCTGACGGTGTTCGACGGCTTCTGGCCCTCGTCGGGCTTCCAGAGGCCTCGGGGAACTTGCCGCCTCCTCAAACAGCGCTGGGCGAAAAGGCGTGGAAGTGAGTCCTGACATGCGCGTAGTCCAGATCACCTCTCGGGCCTCGCCACGACCCCCCCCCCCTCCCGCCCCCCCCCTAAAGCAAACTTACGACAGGCTCGCGTCGCGCTGACGTCGGCGTCGGTCTCTGACACTCCGGGGACCGTTCCACCTCGAACAGTCACGGCTGTCCGACAGGCGACAGGGCGGATCGTTAGCTATCGGCCGATTCTGGCGTTCGACCTGGAACGCCCGCACGGACGCCTCCGCCGCGGCAGCGTGGCGCGAACCTGGCGTACACCCTGCGAAATGCTTAAGAAATCATGGGTTAAGAAATTCATAGTCTCAGAACTTGAATAAAAAGCCGGAACTTCTATCAAAATCTTGGGATTTTCACTGAAACGTTAAGAATAATCGAGACTCTGGACGAAAACTTAGGTTTTCTTAAGCATCGCCGAAGGTGTACGTGTTAAAGTCGAGGGGAAAACGGCCCCGCTCGGGGCACCTTCGGGCACCCCGGGGACCAGGATCCGGGACCGCCCGTGGCCCGACGACGACGACGGCAGTTGCATTCAGAAACCAGCTTTCGAATCCAAACAAACTGCTTTCTGAATTCCACAACCAATCTCGGGGGCGACCAAGAGGGGGGCGTCCAAGAGGCGGGGGGCGCAAATCATGGCCGGCGGCACGTGCGCGGCCCAGCGGGGGGGGCCAGGGACGTAATGAAATAGGAAGAGGCGCCATAACATCGGGGGAAATATCATGGCCCACGCCATGATATCCACCCCCCCTAGTCATCACCTCCCTCTTTTAGGGCGTTGGCAGAATTGGGCTTAGTGTGACCTGGTTTAGTAAATGTACTATAACCGGACTTGCCGTCACCCGAAAAAACACCAGCTACGGCAAAACTGGTTCAGAGATTCTGGCCCCAATTTAGGGGCTCCGGGGCCTTGCTACTAACGGGGTCCCCTTACCTGGGGTCCTGGCTATACCCGATCTTTGCCGACCCCGACAATCCCCCAGGGATCAAGAACCGGAGCCGCCGGTGCCCCAACGACGACGGCCCCCGACCTCGGAGCGAAGCACCGCGCCCCCGACGACCACGGGGCGCGGCCGCGGCCACGGCCGCGGGCGGCGCCCACGCGCGCGGAGTCCTTGTCCTCGACGCAGGGGGGCAGGTCCGAGCACACCTCTGCGCGGGATGTGTTCCTCCCTCGCTCCTCCCTGCTCCTCCTCGCTTCCTCCTCCTCCTGCTCTCTCCTTTGCCAAGCCGTGTGGGCGATCTGCCTGCGGCGTCACTCCTCCTCCTCATCTTCCTCCACGTCGTTCCCCTCCTCCTCCTCCTCCTCCTCCTCCTCCTCCACTTCCTCCTCCTCCTCCTCCTCCTCCTCCTCATCCTCCTCCTCCTTCCTCTCCTCGTCGTTCTCCTCCGCCTCCGTCGCATTATCACCATCACCACCACTATTGTCACAACGATCGTCACCAGCATCACCAACAACGTTATTATCACAATGATCATAGACAATTGCATATGCATCGGCAACCGCAGCATTGTCATCACCAACACCACTATAATCATCATCATCCTCGACATCAAAAACAACAGCCACGTCATCGTCATGTTCATCACCATCACCGTCATCCTCATCATCATCATCATCATCATCATCATCATCATCAGCAGCATCATCATAAGCATAATCAGCATCATCATCTTCAGCACCATCATAATCGTATTCATCATCCTCACCATCATCATCAGCAGCAGCATCAGCATCAGCATCAGCTTCAGCACCACCACAATCATCATCATCATCATCAGCAGCAGCAGTACCATCAGCATCATCATCATCAGCATCATGATCGTCATCGTCATCACCACCATCCTCTTCGTCATCAGCAACATCCTCACCAACAGCCTCAACATAATCGTCCACAGCATCACCATCATCATATTATCAGCATCGACATCATCATCAGCATCGTCGTCATCATCATAATGAGCACGAGTATGATCATTCACATCATCGTTAGCAGCATCATCGTAATCCGCATCATCATCGTCCTCATCATCAGCTTATGACCATCACGGTCGTCGTAACAGTCATCATCATCATCATCATCACCACCATCATCATCATCATCGACATCACATCATCATCAGCATGATCATCGTCGACAACATCACAATCATCTTCACCATCGTCATCACCATAATGGTAATCATCATCGTCATCATGATCATGTTCGCGATCAGGATCATGGTTATCATCATCATCAGTATCATCATCAGCATTAGCATCATCACAACCATCACCATCATCATCACAATCATCATCACATCATCATCATCATCTCATCATCATCATCGTCATCATCATCATCATCATCATCATCCTCATCCTCATCCTCATCATCATCATCATCATCATCATCATCATCATCATCATCATCATCATCATTATTCTCCCCGTCATCGTCGTCATACTCATATCGTCGTCGTAATCATCACCCTGCCCTGCTTCCGCTCCTCCTGCTGCTGATCATCCTCTTTGTCCTCCTCCCCCCTCCTCCTGTCCTCTTGCCGCTCTCTTGATTCCCGTCCTCCTGCGCCTTGCTTCCTCCTGCTCTGGCTCTTTTTCCTCCTCCTCCTCCTCCTCCTTCCCTCCATCCTCGACTCACTACTGAATCTACCAACCAGTGATTGCACTAGGGCTCCGTGCCTCTGTGGGTAAGCAGTGGAACGGGTGTGACAAGCCTTCCCCTGGTGGGCGGCCGTAGACGCCCCGTGCGCTAGCTGTGTGTCTCCAGGTTTCGCATCGTGGATGGGCGCCTCGTGGGCGCCTGGTGCGCTTGCTGCGTCGAGGCTTCGCGTTGTGGGCGGCCGCGGGGGGCACCTCGTGCTGCTTGCACGGCATGGCTTGCCTCACATAACTCACACGATGTTGCCTGCACGTCGAAGCTTCCACCGCATACGTACTTTGCACACATAGCGTTCACCACGTAGCTTACACAACATAGCTTGCACCACACATAGCTTGCACCACAGATCCGACGCTCCAAGACGAACCAAGAGGCCTCTAAGACTGCCCCGAGACAGCCCAAGAGGTCCCCAAGATGGCCCAAAAGAGCTGCAAGACAGCCCAAAGAGCGCCGAAGACGGCCCAAGAAGGCCACTAAACGGCCCCAAGAGGGGGACCACGAACCGACAGTCCGAGATTTCCGCCCCAAAGAAGCCCCCCAAGAGGCCAGAAAAAATGCCTCCAAGAGGCCCAAACACTGCCCCAGAGACCCAGACAGGGCCAAACACTGTCCAAGTGAGGTCCACGAGGGCTCCTCAAGAAGTGGAGGCGACCGGCGTCACATGTCACGGCAGTCCTCGTCCTCCTCCTCCTCCTCCTCAGCCTCCTGCTCCCCCTTCTCATCATCATCATCATCATCATCATCATCATCATCATCATCATCATCATCATAATCATCAGCATCATCATCATCATCACCACCACCACCACCATCATCATCATCATCATCAATATCAGCATCAGCATCAGCATCAGCATCAGCATCAGCATCAGCATTATCATCATCAGTATCATCATCAGCATCATCATCATCACCATCGCCACCATCATCATCAGCATCATCAGCATCATCATCATCGTCATCGTCATCATCATCACCATCACCGTCATCATCAGCATCATCATCATCATCAGCATCATCATCAGCATCACCATCATGATCCTCATCAGCATCAGCATCGTCATAATCGTCTTCATCATCAGCATCATCATCAGCATCATCATCTGTATCATCCTCCATCTCATCCTCCTCATCCTCCTCATCCTCGTCAGCATCATCAGCAGAAGCAGCATCAACCTTCTCATTCTCATCCTCATCCTCACCCTCACCCTCATCCTCGTCATCCTCAGCTTCCTCTCCTCCATCTTATCATTGTAATCATCCCCACCGCCACCATCTCCATCATCAACATCATGCCCTCATCCCCATCCTCACCACCACTGTCAGCATCGTCAGCATCGTCATCATCAGCATCATCATCAGCATCAGCATCCTCCTCCTCCTCATCATCATCAGTATCAACATCCTTGTCATCCTCGTTGTCATCACCTTCACGATCGGCCCTGACGGGCTCGTGGACGTCGAACATGCACCCAATCCCCTAGACAACCAAGGTGTCACACGTGACGGCATAAAACACTGTCCTCCCAAACCCCCCCAAGACGGCCAGACGAAAAGCGCGCACCGTGTTGCGCATCTCAGAAAACCAGAGATACAAGATGTCACGCGTTGGAACCTCCGTGCTCATTGGCGCACAGACCAAGACCATCGAACAAGCTGGTCTGGCATGTTGGCGTGACTTGAACCCCCCAAGACGGCCAAACGAAAAGCGCGCACCGTGTTACGTCTTTCAGAAGACCAAAGATACAAAATGTCACGCGTTAGAACCTCCGTGCTCATTCGCGCACAGACCACCGAAAAAGCTGGTCTGGCATGCTGGCGTGACTTGTCGAAGGCAACTGGATAGCCTTCTCCGCAATGTTTACGCCACATGGCTTGCTCCACAGATAGCTTGCACCACGCATGGATTGCACTACATTGCCGGCAGAAAGCATAGCTTCACACAATTTGCGTGCACCACTAAGCTTACAGACCCAGAGTGCATGAGCATACTGATTTTGACCTACCCTGGAAAACCTACTGCTGATGCTGTCACGAATATGCAACTGAATCCTCATATTAGTCCTCCTCCTCCTACTCCTCATCATGATCAGCATCATCAGCATAAGCATCAGCATCATCATCAGCAGCAGCATCCTCATCATCATCATCATCAGCAGCATCCTCCTCCTCCTCCTCCTCATCATCATCATCAGCATCATCATCAGCATCAGCATCAGCATCAGCATCAGCATCAGCATCAGCATCAGCAACATCATCATCATCATCATCATCATCATCATCATCATCATCATCATCACCGTTATCACCATCACAACTACCATTACATCATCGTCATAGTCATCCTCATCGTGTTCATCCCATGTAGTTCCTCTTCTGGTTGCTGGTCCTCGTCCTCCTACTATTACGGTTGCCCATCTTGCTCCCCGTCCTGATCCTCCTCTTCCCATCCTCTCTCCCCACTTCCCTCTTTTTCCCTCCTCATCCTTCCCCTCCTCGTCCTCCCCCGTCTAGAACAATAAACAACCGACACTGTCCGAACCTTCCGGAGGTCCGCGCGGATGGGCTTGGATCTGCGCTGGATCCCCCTCCCTGGCGCGCCGAGCTACGTCTGGGACAGGTCCCCGGCCACGGGGGCGCACGGGAAGCCGGGCGCCATGCGGCCCGGGGCCCGGTAGAAACCCGCTGTGTTTTGATTCCATCCTCCTCCCCTTCCTCAATTGAAGGGGCCCCGGGACACACAGATAAATACACACACATACCCATCTTCCCCATGCTTTCTCATATGTTCTGGATCTTCGTCTTCTCCCCCATGCCATGCAAACATCGGGCCACATCGGATCGTCGGAATACCGAAATCGAATCGGATCGGGCCTGCCGGAAGCGACATCGGACCAGACCGGTCAGATCTACACGGGCCCTGGTCTCGGCCTTCGGGCCATACCTCCGGTCTCCTGCGGCCCGGCCCCATCGGGACGCTCCGGGCAGCCCGGCGAGACGCACCTGCTGGGGCGCACCCCGAGGCAGGAGAACCCCTGACGGACCGACGAGGGTGTCGCAAAGCGTCAGACGAGGCGGCCCGACGAAGCGCTGCGCGAGTTCATCGACCGCCCAGGCGGTGGCTCCGAGCGAGCGCTCAGCAGCAGCAGAAGCTGCGGCAGCCGCCCCACGGCCTCTCGCAGGGGCGGTGCCAGGGGCGGTGCCAGGGGCGCCCTAATCGAGAATCGATCGATCCTCGATCCTCGATCGATCCTCGATGGACGGATCGGTACATCGATCGACCGGTCCTCGACGGTCCCCTATTGTCGGCGCCTCTGGTCGGTGGCATCGTCCGCCAGTATGAGCGACTACTGACGAGGACTGCAGTGGGATTGCACTCGACTGGGTGGATAGCACTCGGCCTGTCAGCCGAGCAGCGGGATGCACCTGGCCGGTGAGGAGGAGCAGCGCAAATACAGGAAGAGAGCGAAAAGCAACAGCAGTGGCGTGAACACCAAACAGATCCTGGGAGACCATGACGGCGTGATCGGAGGCCTTCCACATGGGGTCCGATTGGATGTGGTCGGAGGATCGCGCCGCATCGCCAATGCGTCGCCCATGCATCGGCGAAGCATCGGCGACGCCGGTGATGCATCCACGACGTAGACGTGGAGAAAATCGGGCTCCACATCTAGCCGCATCACCGATGCATCGGCGACGTGACGTGAACCTCTGACCCAATCTACGCCGATCCCATTTGTGAATGATCGTTCGATGGCTTCAGTCATCCCCCTTCAAACGACGCTGGTGCTCCCACTTGTGTGCTCGCGCGCGTGCGTGCGAGCGCGGATCTGGGCTGCCTGCGCGAGGATGCGCGCCCTGGGCATGGACACCAGAGAGACTGCACTTTGCGCGCGGCCCGCCCTGCTACGCCCGAGTCGTGCCTCTCATAGATCATGCTGTAAGCACATGCCCACGGAAACGTGGGCTCGAGGCTGGACGGCCTGCACACGGGCACCGGGGTACACTGTGGCGTCTTCCCCATGAGCGCCTCTGATGGACCTGTTTCCCACCACCACCACCACAAGCTGGAGGGGGGAAGGAGGTGGAGGACGAGGAGGAGGAGGAGGACGAAGAGGACGAAGAGGAGGAGGAGGAGGAGGAGGAGGAGGAGGAGGAGGAGGAGGAGGAGGAGGAGGAGGAGGTGGAGAAGGTGGAGGAGGAGGACCCCCTCCCCCTCCAACGTATTGTGGTGGTGGAAAAAAAGCCCATCAGCCTCGGGCGGCACGCCCCGCGGGGCCCCCGCCGGGCGCTCCCAGCGAGGCGATGCGGAGGCCTGCGAGCTGGAGCAAACGGGGTCGAGGCGTCGCACCGCATCGCCGATGCATCTGCGCCGTCGACGTGGAGAAGTCCAGCTCTGGATCGCGCCACATCGGCGATGCGTCGGCGAGGCTGCGCGCTACCTCGACCCCCAAGCACTCCCGCCCCAGTCGGGCGGCCTGGACAGTAACAAGAAGACTATCTGGCATGAGGGAACGGCGCCCCGAGGAGAACGGGCCATGGCCCCGGAGGCTTCCCCCAGAACCAGTGCTTCGTCCAGAGCCGTTGTTGACGATTACGGGGGGGTGTGCTCCGACAAGCGGTGAACGTAGACAGGAAACAAGGGCTCCATTTCCCTAAGGCCCTTTCCCTCACAGCGATACAAGCTTCTGCGACCGCGTATACGGAAGAGCTAGGGAGGCCCGAGCGGATCTACTATCGCCCTGCGCGCGCGCGTGGCTGGACGGAGGCCCGACCTGTGGGGGCTACACGTGGGGGCTACACAAGGAGGCTACAATTGGGGGCTACACGTGGGGGCTACAGTCGGGGACCACCCTCAGGGGGCTACTGCACGTGGGAGCTGCAGATGGGGGCCGCACATGGGGGCTACATTTGAGGGGCTACACACTGGTGCTACCCTTCCAAACGTGGGCTACTCTTGGGGGCTACACTTGCAGCCTGCACATCCGGACAGTTCGCCCGCGCCGCGGTGCCAATCATCGTGCTACGTATGCCCATCATCGTGCTACGTATGTGGTATGCACATGAAATACAAAGGAGAGAGAGAGAGAGAGAGAGACACACCACATATCACTATATACCTACTACTAGAACCACGCGCGCGCTTCGAGCGCTCAGGTTCTAGCCAGCTCCAGCCCGTGACAGTCTCACAGTTGCGTGCAGATGCGTACGCGCACATGCAACGTCAGGAGTCACCCACAAGTTGCTCGAACATGCTGTGGAGAAGCAGTAACTCAGAACGTGGACCGAGCAGAAACGATACCAGACCAGGCGCGCTACGAAGATCCCAAGAGCACCCCAGGGGGAGCCCAGGAGATATTCAAAGGGCAGTCGAAGATGGTCCCAAGAGCGCCTCGAGAGGCAAGGTCCCCTGAGCCTCAGTCCTCAGTCCTGAAAAGTTTCTCAGGGGCCCGAGCCCGAAAATCTCAAATCTCTGGGGACTGGTCGTTGTTTCTCTGAGATTTCTGGCGTGCCCTCTGGGCTCCAGGGCGGCTTCCCGCATTGCTTTGCCGGGCGCAAGATGGCCCCAAGACGGACCAGGAGGTCCCCAAGAGGCCGCCAAGACAGTCCAAAAGGGCCCCGAGACGGCCAAAGATCGGGCGAAGACGCCCAGGGTGGCCACAAGGCGGCCCGAGAAGCCTCACAGGCGCCCCAAGAGGCCTCCAACGGGCCTGCTGAGAGAGCTCCGAGAGGTAACCATCTGTGAAATTCATGAAGTGTGTGGAACTTTTGGCCTTCTCGCCTTTGCGGCTGTCCGACGCCTGAAGACGTCCCAAGGCGCCCCGAAGACCCGCAGACCGCCTCAAGACCGCCGAAGAGGCCGTCTGGGGCCCCCTCGGGCCGTCCTGGGCGTCTCAGGGACTGTCCTGGGGCCCTCCAGGGAACCTCTCGAGGAGGCTCATTCAGCTGTCGTCGAGCGGTCTTGGGGGCCTCTTGGGCCGTCTTGGAGCGTCGGGAAATTCAAAAAGCGAAAACTCTAACATCCTTCAAGAACCTACGGAAAATTAGCGATGTTTGTTTGCCTCTTCGGGCGCTCTTGGAAGGCCTCGTGGAGGCCTCTCAGGGCCTCTGGTGAGGCTCTTGGGGGCCTCTAGGGGCCTCTAGGGGCCTCCAGGGAGCCTCTCGAGGTGGAAGCTCGGATTGTCGGTTCGGGTTACCCCTCCTGTGCTCTTTTTGGGGCGGTCTTGGAACGCTCTTGGGCCGTCTTGGACTCCTCGGGCGCCGTGTCGGGGCCCTCTTGGGGCGTCTTGGGGCCCTCTTGGGCTGTGTTGGAGCAGACATTGGGGCCTCTTGAGCCATCGTGGAGCGTCGGGTAATTAACTGAAAAGGCGCGAACCCCCAAATCCCTCAAACCCCGACGTAAGATCAACGATTTGTGCCTCTTCAAGCCCTCCTGGGAAGCCTCTTGAAAACCTCTTGGGGCGTCTCGGAGACCTCTTGATTAATCTGGGGCTAATGCTGGGGTCATCTCTACCGTCATTGGTCGCTTTGGCGATCCGGTGGGGCGATCTCTGGCAGTCAGGGCCGTCTTCGGGCGATCTTAGAAGGCCCCCAGCGCCCCAGAAAGCGCCCTGGGGCCCCTGGCACACCCATTTGTGGTCGGGGTCGCGGCCCCGGGGCCCCCGGTCCAGTCCCCCGTTATATGTAATTGTGTGCTTATACATAAACACATACATGTGTACATATGTGTGCGTTTGTGCGTTTATGTATACATGCACATATGAAGAGAGATAGAGAGATACTCACAGAGGGGAAGACATATCAAGAGAGAGAGGGGGGGTCGAGATCACATAGAAGAGCATAGAGAGAGATAGAGAGACCACAAAGAGGGGAAGAGAAGAAGAGATAGAGAGAGAGAGAGGCAGACGTCTCACAACCATGTCGGAGTCGGCTAGAACCGAAACCATAGCGCGCGTTCTGGTAATTGCAGACTTGTATGTGAACAACAACGGGGACGGGAAAGGCAGAGGGAGAGCGAGACAGAGAGAGAGAGAGAGTGAGAGAGAGAGAGCAAGAAGAGAGAGAGAGAGAGAGAGAGAGCGAAAAGGAAATGGAGAGAGGGATATAATGAGAAAACAACCAAGACAGACAGGAATGAAACAACACAACAAACAGAGCGGGACAGAGAGAAGTAACAGGCAACACAAACACATGTAGAGGACGAGAAACAACTGACAGAGAGAGAGAGAGAGAGCGATGAAAGAGGCATATACAGACATATATGTATATAACGAGAGAAAGAGAGAGAGAGAGAGAGAACAGTGAGAAAGAGCGAGAGAGACAAAAAGAGAAAGAAAGAACGAGAGAGAGAGAGAGAGAAAGCGAGAGAGTAGGCTCCGCTACCCCTAGGACTCCGGACCCATGTGGTGTGGGCCGGAGAGTCTGGGCACGCAGCCCAAGAGAAAAGCCGAACGGGCAGTCACACGTGTGAGCCCTACCGCTGCAGGTCAGCCTCCAGAAGCACCAGGCGGGGGCCCACAACTCTCAGGATGTCTGCAGCAGGGCTGGACCTTGAACGTTGTTTTTCGTGCTGTGTTCGTTTTGTTTTTCGTTTTGCTCGACCTGTTTTCCTGCACCTCCCTCCCAAAACAAAAAACAAAGCACAGCCGAAATCCAGCAAAACAGCGTTAGGTCTAGCCCTGGTCTGCAGCGAGGCGAACCCTGACGGCCCGAAGGGGCAAGGATGCAAAGGGAACCTTGGAAGGTTGCTCGTACTATGCACTTTGACTGTACCCAGCGCGAACGACGAACAAATTCCATACTCATGTCGTCGCCTGTCTGGACACCGAGGAGCGATCCCACGGCTACGTTCCAGTCGGGGCGCCTGGCATCCTCGCACAAAGCCCCCCTGCGTCCATGGGGCCGCGGGCCGGACGAGGGGGGAACATTGCGAGGGGGCGGGTCGGCGCCAGCGTTTCAGGGAACGCGCCTAGCGTCGGGGCCGAAACCAGCCGCATGCAGCAGTTTCTGTTCCCCCCGTTCGTCCGCCCCGAGTGCCGCGGCCGAGAAACCCGGACCGCGTTACCGGTCCATAGGAATACGGATACGCTTCCCGCTCGCGAGCCATAGCTTCGATTGGACCTGCAGCGGCAGGGCTCCCTACCAAGTGGTCGCAGAGAGAGGGCACCGGCTCGGAGTCGGGCTGGCCGAGGTCCCGCCGGGGGCGCCAGCGCGCGCACGCGCGCGCGCGGGGATGAGCCGCCGCTGCCTCCAGGCTGCTCAGGAGGGCGTCCCGTGCGAGGGCAGGCGGGTCTGAGACCCCGGCTGGGCGCAGTCGAGGGGGGAGGACTCCCGGACCAGTCCGGGGAGGAGGCCGCCCGTGGGAGAACGCCATCATACACCAGCCTGGCCCATCCTGGCTGGGCCCGTCCTGGCCAAGAACTGATGCGTCTGTGCACCCTCAGAGCCAAGAGGCGTATTGGGCCATGCGGGGCCACGGGTCGGCCTGGCCAGTGGCGGTGTTGGTGTATAGTTGGCGCCCTCCGAATCCAGGTCCTGCCGGATGCCTCTTCTAGTAGAACAGATATCTGCATAGCCGAGGCTTTTGGGAGGCCAGCGCGGGTTTCCTGGATCGGTGCTGCCACCCCCCTGGCGGCTGCAGCATCCCTGGCAGCAGCAGCCCCAGCCAGACCAGGGACGGCCCCATCTCCTCCTCGGGATCGGCGGTGGACAAACCTCCCTTTAGTAAACCACCCTTCAATGAAAACGGCCTAGAACCCAGAACCGAAACCGACAAACCTGGACCCGCAAAAGCGACGCCCTCCCGCGAACCCGAAAACGGCCAACTCGCCAATCGACGCGTCAGGGTAGGCCTGGCAGCCTCCGACGGGACTTTGCCTCTCCGCGGAGGCCCGCCTCTCCGCGGAGGCCGGGACGGGGCCGCCGCAGCACCCCTCACGAAGCCACGGGGGCCCCAAAGGCCTCGCCAGGGCGCGGAGCGCCGGGGGGGGGACCACCGCGGCCAGGCAGGCCACTGCTCATTGC